GGACTAGAAAGCCTCATCTTGCCACTTTACAGAAGCTGGTGTTTTCAAACTACTGAACTGCAATTAGCAGTTCAACTCATAACTCACTATGCTACCAAGATTCCTGTGATAAGGGGTAGGTAGAATAATGACCACCACCACCCACGCCCCTCCAAAGATACCCACATCATAATCTCTTCAATCAGGGAATGTATTGCTTTAGATAGCCAAAATATTTTGAAAATATGATTATGCTATTGATTGTAGAGATTCCTCAGTTATCTAGCTGGGTCCAATCTAATCACCCAGGTCCTACAAAGGGAGTGTTTCCTGCATTTAATAGAGAAAGCGATGTGGTGATAGAAGAAGGAGCACAGAAACAATACATTGCCAACATTGAAGATGCAAAGAGGAACTACTAGCAGAGATACCGGATCTGTTTCTATTGTTATTCCTTGTCTCATAATTCCAACTCCTTCAGGCCCCGTGTGTGCAGAGTAGAACCGCTTCAAAAGGTTTGCAAGGTCATAACCATAGGAAGTAGATTGCCAGGGCCATCTTCCAAAACGCCTTTTGAACCACCAACATTTCAATTAGCTGTTCAGCTGCATGATTAGCGGTTTTGTGGTAAAGGTAAGGAGATGAATTCTCCCGTTAAGTGCCAAGGAAAGATAGTAACCTGCTGAAACCTGGATTCTAGTCCAGTGAAACACTTGTTGGACTACTTCTGGCTTACACTCCTCTAAGATAATAAATTTGTGTTCTCATAAGATATCATGTTCGTGGCAATTTGTTTTGACAGCAAGAGAAAACTAAGGCACAAAACTACATATTATATTTAATGTAGTTCCAAGATTGGCTTTCCCACACACATTGAGCAAGTGTGAAATTGCAATAAAAAGTAAATCCAATGCTATTAAATCAATTTCATCTCATAGGCACTCTATATGACCAAGTATTCCTGAACCATACGATATCCAAGACTATATCTAATGCAGACTGCTGTAGCTCTTTGGGAAATATCTGGTGATTCAAACTGCTAACCCTTTGGTATGCAGTAAAGTGTTTAGCTACTAGAGCTCCTTGAAACTGGAATATATCAAATATATCTTACAATTTCTATGAGCAGAAAGACTTTATGTCATTATTGTCATTGTCATTGCCTGTCAAACAACCTTTGCATAATGGGTCTTGCTGGCTTGTAAAAGAATTATGAAGATACTGTTTTTGCTTTTCGTCCTTTGATTGTTGTTGTATCTGTTCTTCTCAGACACACTGAATTACTCATTCTCCTGACAGAAACCCAATGTTTTGTGAAAAAAAAATATTGGTAATTCTGAGCAAGAAAAATAAAGTGATTCAAAAATTACACTTAAAAGAGGAAGAAGTTTCATGAAAAGCTTAACCAATTTATTCTCACTTTTTTTATAAACTCACCAGAAGCAACACAGGATGAAGCATAAGCCTAAATAATCTAATTACTAATCTAAATAAATCTTAAAGGCATGTAGTTAAATAAGCAGTCATCTAGCAGGAAAGCAACAAAGAAGTATACCAGCTAGTGTGATCATGAGGTGTCGATGGAAATAGGGATCAGAAATTCAAAAACAAGCAACCAAAATGATGAGAAATAGTAAGGACAAAGCGGAAGAGAATGGGGCAGTACCTCACAGAAGGGATGATAAATCCAAGGGCAGTATAGCATTGATGAAACACATAACTATACTCTTGTTCTTTAATATTTCCTCACCTTATTATCATGGTCTTTGTTTTACCTCATTAATCTTGTTAGACCTTCTTATGTTTATTTGTATAAAGATAGTTTGATGCATGAAAGCCAAGATAGATAGCCCTTCAGAAACAGTAATGAGAGTAATAATTTGCTGAGGATATGGGAAGGGGATGGGGACTCAAAGAAAGGATGACTGTATAATTCCACTTGTGGGGAGCGAATATCAAAATAGTAGGTGTATGGATATTTTGGATGGGGTAAGATTACAGCAAACAAAATAATGATAATAATAACAAAAATAATAAGGATTCCTGGGGGTTCAGGTGGAGGAGGAAGAGGGTAAAGGGGAGCTGATATCAAAGAGTTCAAGAAGAAAGAACATGTTTTGAAACTGATTGTGGTAGCAATTGTACATTTACGCTTGATCTAATTGAATTATGGAATGTTAGTATATCTTCAAGAGTTCCCAATAAAATGGTTAATGATTTGTTTTTAATCAGGAAAGGTGTAAGTCAGGACTGTATCCTTCACTCCAGTGATTCAAACTGGATGGGGAGCAAATCATTAGAGAAGCTGCATTCCATGAAGAAGAACACAGCACCAGCCTTGGAGGACGGTTCATGAACAACCTGCCAAATACGGATGACACAACCTTGCTCGTTGAAAGTGAAGAGTGAAGATCAAGTATTGCAAGCTTTCGTATAGATTTCAACTCGATGTAAGTTAAATCAAAATCCTCGCAACTGGACAATAAGCAACATCAGGATAAATGCAAAAGAGATTGCAGTCGCCAAGGATTGTGTCTCGCTTGGATCCACAATCAATATTCATGGAAGTAGCAGTCAGGAGATCATAAGATGTACTTCGTTCGGTCAATCTGCTGCATAAGATCTCTTTAGAGTATTGAAAAGCAAATATGTTACTTTGAGGTCTAAAGTCACAGCAACACTACAGTCTGGAATAGACCTACCCATTTGGGAAACCAAGGTGGACATCTTTACGAGAGCAGAAAGGTCGTGTGTTAGAACTGCTGGCATGTCGGTTGGCAGCCCAATGCATAACCCACGACACCACCAGGGTTTTATGACAAGTGAAATTTGCTTGATTTTAGAAAATGTTGGGAACAATAATGCTGTTACATCAAAATAGACGGGTGTGTGTGTATGTAACATCCCAAGGTACATGAAATATACTGAAATATACAGAAGCAAACCTCAAAAGATCCTGCTTTAGACAAGTGAGACATGCAACTGAAAACAAATGAAAGGAGAGTTCCTGTTACAGCTTCTCTAGAGGAGTGCAGACATTGGCACAGCAAAGGGTTGGAATATAGATTTGGCTGTCAACGTGGAAAGGAAATGAAAATGAAAGGAGAGCATAGAGAAAGGAAATTCAAATTTTCACTGAAACCTGCCAGTATTTTATTGGGGGCAACTTTTAAAGCTGGGAAACTGGCTGTCAGGTTGCCAAGGTAGAAAAACATTTATGTACCTTATAGAATCCAATGACTTTGTGCCAAAGCAATAGTGAGTCTATTTTTACCTTCCCTCTGAGACTATTAATCCCTTGGCCATTTTGGCTTTTCATCACATTGTGAGTAATATTAGGATTTTAAAAGAAGCAGTGTTGTTTGCTAGATGGCAATATTAGTAGTATTTTTGGAGCAATGAAGTAAGATCCGGCTAAATTCTGATAGGTTAGTCTTTTTGTTGATCATTGATCATGTTTCCTCTTCGGGTATTTTTTCTTTATTTTCAATTTCTCCAAAATAGTGAATTTTATAATTTTGAATCTTTTCTTTGTAGGAATTAATAATGTTCACAAAGGCTTTTCACCAAAGTCGACATTTTCATTATTATGCAAATAATAATGTAAGATAGTCTAATTTTTAGGGAAAAAAGATCAATCGATCTAGAAAGGAACCTATTTGTTTTATTTAATACAACTGAAATATTGTTTGCATAGGACTTTCTTCAACATCTAATTTTATGTTGGAGACTTCTTTAAAGATCTGTCACTGCTTGCAATTACTTAGGACTTGACTACCACTTTGTTACCCCATATCTTATTATATTAGAGGGATAATAACTTCCCTTGGGTGAAATAGTATTATAGGTTTTTTTGTTTTTGTTGTTTAAATCATTTTATTGGGGGCTCTTACAGCTCTTATTACAATCCATACATCCATCCATTGTGTCAAACACATTTGTACATATGTTGCCATCATCATTTTCAAAACATTGTCTTTCCACTTGAGCCCTTGATATCAGCTCCTCATTTTCCCCCTCCTCCACCTTCCCTCCATCATGAACCTTTGATAATTTATAAATCCCCCCCACCCATGTCTTAAATTGACTGCTGTGTCCCTTCACCCACTTGTCTGTTGTCCAGCCCCCTAGGAAGAGGTTATATGTAAATCATTCTGATCAATTCCACTTTTCTCGTCCCAACTTCCCCTTCCTTTCCTGGTATCTTTATTCTCATTATTGGTCCTGAGGGGTTTATCTGTCCTGGATTCCCTGTGTTGCAAGCATTTATCTGTACCTGTGTACATGCTCTGGTCTAGGGAGATTTGTAAAGTAGAATTGAGGTCATGATAGTGGGGCGGGCTGTGGAGAGGAAGCATTAAACATCTAGAGGAAAGTTGTATGTTTCATCGGTGCTATAGGGCACCCTGGCTGACTCATCTCTTCCTTTTGACCCTTCTGTAAGGGAATGTCCAACTGTCTACAGATGTACTTTGGGTCTCCACTCAGCACCCCCCCACACACACACCATTCACATTGATATGATTTATTGTTCAGGGTCTTTGATGCCTGATACCTGATGCCATCGACACCTCATGATCACACAGGCTGATGTGCTTCTTCCATTGGGTTTTGTTGCTTCTCTACTGTAGTTTAATAATTAGTAGATCCTCTAAAATTAAGCCAAAATACAGCTTTTCAAAATAAACCACAGCTTTTCTTGTAAATTATTTTTTCTCCATTGTTTAATAAGCTAGTCTCCAAGATGCATCAATCTTTAGAAGCCAAACAATATTAGTATAATTGTTAGAATTAAAATAAATACTTCTAGATAGTATTCTTCTGCATGTCTCAAGATGGGGCTCTATTTTATTCCTGAAAACTGCTTCTTCTTACTTTTTAAATTTTAAACTGCTTCTTCAAAACATTTTCCCAGGTTCGATGAGTTTGGGAATCATAGAATATGGTTTCATTAATCCTGGAGAGCTCTTCTGCCCTCCTTTTTTTTTGCAGCTTGCTGTGCCAGTCTGCACCTTGTCGCCATGCCTTATAAAGAGAAAATCAAGTACGTTTGGCTCACTTCCAGGCAAAAGGACATCAAATCTGTCATGATCAAGAAAAATAAGGATACTGTGAAGTTCAAGGTTTGGTGCAGCAGGTACATCTACACCTTGGTTATCATGGACAAAGAGAAGGAAGTGAAGCTGAAGCAGTCAGTACCCACAGGTTTAGCAGTGAAGGAGCTAAAATGAACCCAACCAGCTCAAGTAAACTGTAGCAACATTTTTAAAAATTAACAAAAAATAAATAAATAAATGTGGAGGCCTGCGATGTTTATTTGTAAATTATGTTAATGTATTGTATACATCGTAATACATAATATGTTCTATTTAGAAATGCATTTAACTCCATTTATCCAGTTTTTCTCAAACTTACAGGAACACAGAATTGATTTCTCATGGTACCCATGTTAACATAGGATAAGGCACACTTTGGAGAAAGCAAATCTAGTCAAAGAGCTAATAAGCTGCCTAGAGAAGTCAGGTAGTTAATTCAATATGGTGCCGGTATTTATGCAAGGATTCTGAACAGTTCATACATTTCCCAACAACTTAAGAATGAGTGCTAATGTTGCTGTGAGTGTGCTATAATTTTTCAATTTGTTTTAAGTGCTTTGTCTCTTCGTGATCGTTGGATTTT